GGCAGATTATTAAAGAAACATGTCTCTAAAAAAGTTGCTGGGCAGCAAAAAACAAAGAAGCATAAATACAAAGTCAAACACTGTAAATCAATTGGCGGACTATTAAAGAAACATGTCCCTAACAAAGTTACTGGGTAGTGTGTCAAATGCAAACTGTTAAATAAACAGCAAAAAAACAAGAAGCATAAATACAAAGTCAAACACTGTAAATAAATTATCGGATAAAATTAGCGGAATATTAAAGAAACATGTCCCTAACAAAGTTACTGCGTAGTATGTCAGTGCAAACTGTTAACTAAACAGGCAAAAAAAAAAAAAAAAAGAGCATAAATGCAAAGTCAAACACTGTAAATAAAATAATTAATACCTGTGGAGTGCCATCCAGAAGTAAGCACAGAAAGCCTTAGATTTGAAAGGCAGACCTCCGCGTCCCGCAAATGGAACATGCTTGTGTATAATTTTTTTCTTTCTTTCTTTCTATTTCTTTATCAGATGAAGAAACGTATAGATATCAGATATCAGCAACTATTTTTTAAGGACAATCGCATGGCACCACCCAATTCCGTCTAAGCAATTCCAAAATTACTCCAATCAAAATCCCAATCGCAATTATCGTGCAAAAACCCTAGCTGATGCCGTGGTGATCGGAGAACAATCTCGGCCGAGGATGTTGGGGGTTTTGTAGAGGGGAGGCCGGTCAAGCTTGGGTGGCGGCACGTTGGATTCTGAAGGCCGGTCAAGCTTGGGGTGGGGGTAGAGGGGTTTTGGTGTGGGAGGTTCAGGGAATCAGATGATGGTAGCGGGGGTCGTAACGGTGACGGAATCGCCCGGTGAGCACAAAAAGGCAGTCGCACAGTTAGTTGCGGGGAGGTGAAAATCCGGCCAAAAAACGGTTGGTAAGGCAAGTTAAGTGTGTGATTCGGGTTATGTGGCTTTTCCTGTCGATTCCGGTGAAGAATCCGGCAAAAACCAGATCGGGGTTAGGGTGGATTATCTCCTGCTTTTACTGATAGTTTTTTATTATTATTATTAAATAAAGGCTAATGCTCAATGGACTACCTATATTAACCCTAACGGTTACTTTTTATCAAAGGTTGATTTTGATTCTTTGAAGGACGAATTTGACATTTAAAAATCAAGTTGACCTGGTGTAATCCACTGAAACTATAGGGACTAAAATATTCCTAAATTGTCTTACTTGCTTTTAAAATGTAAAAACTAATTTAGCAAAAAATTATAAACAAAATCGTTGGTCTAGACTTTGATTATTATTATTATTATATTACATTAGTATATTAAGCTTGACTTGATAAAAGAAAGAGATCATATCTCCTTCCTAAACTATAACTACTCCTTTTAGTAGGATTTTGAGTCCTACTAGGATTCGTACCCTTTGGGTTCCCTATATAAACAGGGGCAAAGTATTTAGAAATCACCTATAAGTTCTAGCACTCTCACTCTCAAGGTCTCAGAATATTCCGACGACATCCCGATGCTACCAAAGTCCCCACAACCATAAAAGCATCCTCTAGACTGTCAATGGCTTGCATTACAAGATCCGATCCTTGTAATTGTAATCGTAGATTTTACTGTCTATACAAAGCAAAAGCATCAGATCGCTATCAAAATCATGAAGACGTTTTGCTTATTTAATATGTACTCATCGAGGACATCTTCAATGTGATAAAGCTTGTTCCCTCACTTGTTTAACCCATGTTAAGACACCTTCATTTCCTTCTCCTCCTTCTACAACTGCTGCTCTTGCATCGGCATCCTTGAGGAAAGATCGGACGCTCTCCAATTCTCTTTTGGTGCTTTCAACTTCTTGTTTCACTCTTCCCAATAACTTGATTTCTTCAAGAAGCAAAGAACTCAAGGTTTCTGTCACAATTTCCACTGCAGCCTCGGCCATATCTCTCCTTTTTTACTCACTTGATTGATATCAAACCAGTAGGTCTGATTTTTAAGATGTTTTCACTCATGCACACAATGTTTGATGGCTGAATATGACTATAAATTTTTATTTATAGGAAGCCTGTAGGATAAGGACTCATTACTTCACTTCGAATCTTTAAAATACTGTTCAAAATCCATAGTTGAGACGAATGATAGATACTTAACAGTGACATAAAATTCTTTTCCTTCCATTGAAAAAGTGACATGGAATTTCGGGATATGTTGGGTAACTTTTTGCCAATTTTCGTCTTTCTTTCAACATATGACGAAACTCAAGAAACTTAAGGTTGTTTAAATGTTCAATTCCAGTTGGAATCTCTTTCAATAGTGGGCATGGTCCAATAGTCAACTCTCTAACAATCTTGGCTTCGTTTGTTTCAATTCTCATAATACTACTTTTAGTATTCCCAAAAAAGTTAAACAGTAAAATACTCAAAAACTTTGATTTTCGGGAATACTACTCTCAATATTATTTAACTTTTTTTAAACCCCTTAAATTTAATAATTTAATTAAATACCCCTAAATATTTTTTAAAAAATTACAAAAACACCCCAATAATTCATATTTACCAGATTCCGGCCACCACTGTCGGAAAATGGCCGGAATCTGTTAGGATGGTGCACTAGCGGCTGAATCTGGCCGGTAGTGCACCGATCTAGCCTTTTTCGGTCAGATCCACGGTTAAGGCCAAAGATCTGGCCGTTGACGGCCAGATCTTTGGCCGTAACAGTTTATAACGACGGCCAACAAACGGTCGTCGTTGACCATCAACGACGACCGTTTGTTGGTCGTTGTTGACGAGCAAATACGGCCAGATCTGGCCGTAGATCTGGCCTTTGTCGGCCATATCCACCGTGGATCTGGCCGGCAAAGGCCATATCGGCGCACGACCGGCAAGATCCAGCCGGTCTATAGTATGAAGCAGCTTCTGGTTTGCATCTGTTCCTTTGGGAACTGGTATCTTGATTGCTGCACAAATCTTATCTGATATGCCCTCCACAGGCACAGGGTGAGGAACTGAAAGCAAAGCATGACAATCAAAATCTTCCTTCAGCTTTCTATAAACTTCCTTGATGAAAGTGGTTTTACCTGAGCCACAGTCCAACCACTGAAACCAGCATCTTCCCCGGTTCTCCCATTTTTATGAGATCAAGAAGTTAATTCTACGTTTCTCAATGCCTACTAATCATCAACCATGGCTTCGGGATACCAAACTGTGCCAGAACTACTCAAGGCATGTTCAGGGGGAAGTATGCAAAAAGCATCTAAAATTTTTATCTTTTATCTTGGCTTTGATATTCTCCATGCGAGAGAACCGAGCGACGGTTTTTCTTGCCATTTACAGAGTGAGCCACATCACGAAGAATTGAGAGATTTATGTTCATGAGAGTGATCAGGTACCTCAAGTAAAACTCTTCAATTGCATCCTCTATTTCATATGCTAAATCACGCACTTGTTTAAGATGATTCTTCCCGCAACTAGGCTCGTCATAAGAACTTGGAGAACAGCAAGCAGATGTGTAAATGTTTTTATGGCATTTTTTATTTGGCCCTGTGCAATCTATTGTTTAGCTTTAGTTTGCCATCGTTCTCCTAGCTACGGCCCACCTGCCCGTCTGATCCAGAACAACAATGGTTGCAGTCGCCACATCCCCATGAATTGGAATGTAATTTCCGAGCATAAGTTATTCCTTCAAAATCTGATGAGAAGAAAGAACAGTATAATCTCAACCCCGACGGCTTCATCTTTTTCCTTTGATGATCAGTATTTTACATAGTCTGCCCTGCTGCAAAAATACGAAGACACAGGAGATGAGCAATACATCATGCAAAACTTGAAAGACTCATACAACGTACTACTTACGATTACCATCCCAAGCCAGCAAGTTTCTAGCAGGCTATTGATTTCTTTTTTTCCTTCTTTTGTTCTTTTTCTCTTTTTGTTCTTGTAGAAACATTTACATAACAGCAACTGTTTTTAAGAATGACAATCCCATTTGACTTCCTTAGAAGAATGGACTTAAATAATAATAATCTGAGAATATTGTTAGGAGGGAAATTGAGTAATAGGTGCTACACAGCAGCTCTGTTTCCCTGTACAAGTTAGATAGATAAAGTTAATCCTGATCTATTTATCCAACTCAAAATGCTTATAGGAGTCGACAATAAAGCACTAAGCAGCTGTTGTTTACCTTTTAATATCTTGGCAAGTGCAAAGTTTAAGACATGCCTTCCTCACCCTTTTTCTCCAACTATGCCCACTTCATCACTTTTTCTTCCTCTGATATCGATGAAATAGTTGGATTTCCTCTGCCCTCACGTCTGCTTCACAGGCGATTCCTCGAACATCACCTTCACCAAATCTTCTACTCCATTGGAGCACTTGTATTGGTTGCCAGATTATCAACTGCCTCTCATTATCAATTTATTTTCTCCTGGCTTGATCTCAATGATTGTGCCAAGAATAATGATCTGAAATACAAAAAAATAAGAACAAACCATAGTAGTGCTTGTTGAACACTTAGGTTTACATAAATAACAATTAGCTGATACAAAGGCAGATTATTAAAGAAACATGTCTCTAAAAAGTTGCTGGGCAGCAAAAACAAAGAGCATAAATACAAAGTCAAACACGTAAATCAATTGGCGGACTATTAAGAAACATGTCCCTAACAAAGTTACTGGGTAGTGTGTCAAATGCAAACTGTTAAATAAACGCAAAAAAACAAGAAGCATAAATCAAAGTCAAACACTGTAATAAATTATCGGATAAAATTAGCGGAATATTAAAGAAACATGTCCCTAACAAAGTACTGCGTAGTATGTCAGTGCAAACTGTTAACTAAACAGGCAAAAAAAAAAAAAAAGAGCATAAATGCAAAGTCAAACACTGTAATAAAATAATTAATACCTGTGGAGGTCTTTTGGCGATTTGAAGCAAGGTATCTTTGATTTATTTAATTTCCAACTGAACACTTGGAAGGGAAAAAAGAAATTTCTTTCCTCATCTTTTGGTGATTTAAAATAAATTATCTATGCTTTATTTAATTTACAACCAAACACTATCTCAAAATGCATGATTCCTCAAGGAACAACATAGTGGATATAAATTACAAACACAACTATAACATCAGAAGCAAGACACTCTCAGTTCATATTACAGGTGAATTTAAATGTTAACTCTTTGTCTTGATACCTGATCCCATCATACTACAAATTACCTGGACAATGTAACAAGTAACACATTGACAAATTTGCTAGCAATATTACAGTAGATATTACATTCTCATAGCAAGTATCACATTGACAAGAAATAGCCATTGCCTGATTGATGAATTCGGAAGTCGATTCATCAGTTTATTCTCACGACTGTGTAGATACTTTATCTGTTCATGACAATCATTTCAAGAAAAAAAACAATTGTAATGGATGTGATGCAAAGGGAAAGAATGGTAAATATAAGCAAGTGAATTGAGACATTACCAAAGACGAAATGTAAGATTTAGCAATGGCAGCATGCTACTGGCTATGCGTGGAAGAGAATTAATCAGCACTGACTTTGATGTGACGAGCCTCCAAAGATCGTTTATTATGACTAAGGGTCTATTCTCATGCTCGGGCATACCATGCAGAAGAATTTCTTCCAATTAGATGAGCTTGTGAATTCCTTCCGGGGCCTTGTTCAATTTCATACATTTTCCTAAAACTAGCTTCTGAAGTTCAGGAAGAGCTTATTCCTCCACGACAACCTTGCGTAATTCATTGAATTGTTCGATCTCTAATATCACCAGCTTCTGAAACCGATTGGACTTGAATTTTAACTCTTCCCCAATATACACATCAACCAATTGAAGCTCCAGTGACGAAGGCAAAGCTTGAATAGCCTCAAGAGGGCAGTTCAACAATTTTGACCCTTTAAGACATATCTTAGCGAGACTGTGTACGGAGCTAATCCATTGAGGAATGTACTGTAAACGAACTCCCAAATATAAACTACAAGGGAGACGAGGAGATCTACTAACATCATCCAGCGCAAGAAATTCCTCTTCATTTGTTGATGACACATGTAAAGAGGAAAGATCCTCCATGTTTTGAATTGATGCACACAAATCCCTTCCATGACCACTTTCAAGCTTTGTGATCCCCAGTTTCCTCAGCTGAACCGAGTTTCCCAACTCTCTAATAATCTTCTTGCTTGCCTTGAGAAGTGACAGCTTCTGTAGGGATTCTAAACTTCCAATTCCTGGAGGCATCTCTGCCCTTACATGAGCTTGATTCACATTGATCGAGTCAACAAAGAGGTAGACCAACTTGCGAAGTTTACGGATCTTCTTGGGCAACTTCTTGACACATGTTTGTCAAAGGTCCAAAGTCAAGAGGTTTAGGAGCTTCTTACCAGATCTTGGAACTGTTTGGATCTTTGTATTTCTCAAACTTAGGTACCTAAGAGTGTGCGAGCATCTATCTCATGTGGAAAACATTCCAAAGCTGCATCTTCCAGATCTAAACCTAAAGCTGTCAAGTGGCTTTCCAGACAATAATTGATTACAACTCTCTCCCCCAAATGAGATGAGGGTACGAAAACGAGATAAGTCCGTCCCTGCAGGTAACGATTTGTTGTGAAAATTGTCGATAGATAAGCATCTAGGAGGCTGATCAGCTATAATTCTGTTTCTTTCTGTGAAAACCTGGCTTCAGTTATCTTCCTCGGACTTGGAGATGATAACCTCTCGCGCAAGAGTTTGAACCCAGCAACTTCTTACTAGCCCTTGACGATCCCTTTGAATTGCATGAACTAATTTCATTTGAATGACATTGAGGTATTCATTAGCCATATCCTCCGTTGTCTTGTTCTTCTCTCCTCAACAAAATGTTCAGCTATCCACAAGTTAGCCAGTCTTCCTCATGGAACAGAACGATCCTCTGGGAAATTGCAAAAGTACAAGAAGCAGCGTCTGAGATTATAGGAAAGATGGAAGTAACTTTGTTGTAATATCTTTTGCAGGAATGATAAATGGTCACTGCTTCCTAGCTCATGACCTAAGCTATTATGCAATTTTGTCAAATTCTGATGTAGTTTGCCACTTATTTGACAAAATGTTGGCTGCAGCAACTACTGCTAATGGCAATCGTTCACACCATGTGAAGATATGCACAGGACAGCCAACCAAGCGTTCAGGGCAATTATTTCCTCAGAAGGCCTTATAACAGAAAGTTCCCATCCCTCATCCCGTGTTAGAGCTTCGAGAGAGTACATGTGATTCCAAGGCTTTACACAATAAGAAGCTACATCACCTTTCCGTGTGGAAATAATTGTCCTACTACCAGGGCGACCATCAGGTAGAGCACGCTGAATATGATTCCGCTCATCATTGCTCCAAATTCCATCTAAAAAAATAATGTACCTCTTTTGCTATAAGTATGAATGCAGCTTCTGGTTTGCATCTGCTCCTTTGGGAACTGGTATCTTGATTGCTGCACAAATCTTATCTGATACAACCTCCACAGGCACAGGGTCAGGAACTGAAAGCAAAGCAGACACTCAAAATCTTCCTTCAGCTTTCCATAAACTTCCTTGATGAGAGTGGTTTTACCTGAGCCACGAAGTCCAACCAGTGAAACCAGCATCTTCCCTGGTTCTCCCATTTTTATGAGATCAAGAAGTTAAATTCTACGTTTCTCAATGACTACTAATTCATCAACCATGGCTTCGGGATACCAAACTGTGCCAGAACTACTCAAGGCATGTTCAGGGGAAGTATGCGAAAAGCATCTAAAAATTTTATATCCTTTATCTTGGCTTTGATAGTCTCCATGCAAGAGAACCGAGCGACGGGTTTCTTGTCATTTACAGAGTGAGCCACATCATGAAGAAATTGAGAGATTTTATGTTCATGAGAGTGATCAGGTACCTCAAGCATAAACTCTTCAATTGCATCCTCTATTTCATAGGCTAAATCACGCACTTGTTTAAGATGATTCTTCCCAGCAACTAAGCTTGTCATAAGAACTTGGAGAACAGCAAGCAGATGTGTAAATGTTTTTATGCATTTTTTATTTATTTGGCCCTGTGCAATCTAGAGTTTAGCTTCGGTTTGCCATCGTTCTCCTAGCTAGGGCCCACCTGGCCGTCTGATCCAGAACAACAATGGTTGCGGTCACCACATCTCCCATGAAATTGGAATGTAATTTCCGAGCATGAGTTATTCCTTCCAAATCTGATGAGAAGAAAGAGCAGTATAATCTCAACCCCGACGGCTTCATCTTTTTCCTTTGATGATCAGTACTTTACATAGTCTGCCCTGCTGCAAAAAAACAAAGACACAGAAGATGAGCAATACGTCATGCAAAACTTGAAAGACTCATACAACAGTACTACTTATGATTATCATCCCAAGCCAGCAGAGCTTCTAGCAGGCTAATTGATTTTCTTTTTTCCTTCTTTTCTTCTTTTTCTCTTTTTGTTCTTGTAAGAAACATTTACATAACAGCAACTGTTTTTAAGATCGACAATCCCATTTGACTTCCTTCAGAAGAATGGACATAAATAATAATAATCTGAGAATATTGTTAGGAGGGAAATTGAGTAATAGGTGCTACACTGCAGCTCTGATTCCCTGTACAAGTTGAGATAGATAAAGTTAATCCTGATCTAATTTATCCAACTCAAAATGCTTATAGAGTGGACACTAAAAGTACTAAGCAGCTGTTGTTTACCTTTTAATATCTTGGGCAAGTGCAAAGTTTAAGACATGCCTTCCTCACCCTTTTTCTCCAACTATGCCCACTTCATCACTTTTTTCTTCCTCTGATATTGATGACAATAGTTGGATTTCCTCTCCCTCAGGTACTGCATTCACAGGCAATTCCTCGAACATCACCTTCACCAAATCTTCTACTTCCATTGGAGCACTTGTATTGGTTGCCAGATTATCAATTGCTTCTCATTATCAATTTATTTTCTCCTGGCTTGATCTCAATGATTGTGCCTAGAATAATGATCTGAAAAACAAAAAGATAAGAACAAACCTATGGTAGTTGCCTGTTGAACACTTGAAGTTTACATAAATAACAATTAGCTGATACAATTGGCAGATTATTAAAGAAACATGTCTCTAAAAAAGTTGCTGGGCAGCAAAAAACAAAGAAGCATAAATACAAAGTCAAACACAGTAAATCAATTGGCGGACTATTAAAGAAACATGTCCCTAACAAAGTTACTGGGTAGTATGTCAAATGCAAACTGTTAAATAAACAGCAAAAAAACAAGAAGCATAAATACAAAATCAAACACTGCAAATAAATTATCGGATAAAATTAGCGGATTATTAAAGAAACATGTCCCTAACAAAGTGACNTGGCCCTTAAGATTTTGTTTGCAATAAAAGTGTATATGAGCCTCACCTCACGTGCGACCTCCTAAACTGTCTATAACTAAAACCAAGTAGTTGACTTTGATTACACGAGGAGATGGCTTTGTGTGAGCAAAAGGAGAAAGCCAGCCACAGTCTGCCTTCTTGCCTCTGCTTTATAAGCATTCCTAAACTATAGGATTCATTAGATCATCAGATGGTAAATCCCAAAAGACATAATCTGTATTTTGCATGGTGAATCCATTCCTGATTTCTTTTCCACCTTCGGACTCCTCGCAATTGTCATCTTCAACCTTTTCATGGAGCCGCCTTTGTTGTTCTCCGGCTGTACATGTGCTTCCACTTCCAGTACACATACTCTGGCTCCATGGTGATGACGCAGCTCCATCATTACCAAATGATGTTGTGCCGTAGTGAAATCCATTAACAGATATAGGGAAACCGCTGCAGCCTCCGGCAAAATTTGCCGACATTGCTCCTGTAGGGTCCCAGGGCTTGTTCGAGGGTAGCATTTCAGGTTCTTGTATTGCCCTTGATAAATTTAGCTTGATCTTTTCAATAGTGTCATCTTTTTCGTCATTTTTACTGGTAATGTAAGTGGCTGTAGTGTTCATTGGTGCTGATTGTTGGAGCTGGAAGTCTATTCTTTTCTTAGTTAGCAGGTGGAACATTTCATCTTTGAAGCAGCCGAGGGCTGCTTCCGCAAGGTGAGCCACCTGAGGCGGTGCCAGCGTGGTGGCGATTTCTGCCATCAGGTGGGAAAACGACTTGTGGGTAACCGGATCGATACCCATGCCTGAAAGCTTCTTTTTCAGCTTGGTATTCCAATGATTTTTAACATCATTATCAGTCCGGCCAGGTAGCTGACCTGCAATCAGTGCCCATCTGCATTACACATTTTCGAATCAATCATTTAGTTTTCTCTGTCATTTAGATACTCGCATTTAGAACATGCATATGCATTGACATACCGATTGCCAACAACAGAATGTAGCTGCACAATAGCCTGTTCTTCCGCGTCTGAGAACTGCCCGTGCTTAAGATCAGGACGAAGGTAATTCGTCCAGCGCAGCCGGCAGCTCTTCCCACATCTCTGGAGACCTAACATATCAAAATAAANTTTCTGGATGAAGAAACGTATAGATATCAGATATCAGCAACTATTTTTTAAAGACAATCGCATGGCACCACCCAATTCCGTCTAAGCAATTCTAAAATTACTCCAATCAAAATCCCAATCGCAATTATCGCGCAAAAACCCTACGTGATGCCGCGGTGATCGGAAAACAATCTCGGCCGAGGATGCTGGAGGTTTTATAGAGGGGAGGCCGGTGAAGCTTGGGGTGGAGGCAGGTTGGATTCTGAAGGTGGGATCGGCCGGAATCCGGCCTGAGAGGGGCGATCGCGCGAAGCACAAAACACGCGATTGCCAGTGATTTCCAGGGGTGGCGGGGTGGGGGTAGAGGGGTTTTGGTGTGAGAGGTTCAGGGAATCAGATGATGGTAGCGGGGGTCGTAACGATGCCGGAATCGTCCGGTGAGCACAAAACGGCAGTCGCACAGTTAGTTGCGGGGAGGTGAAAATCCGGCCAAAAAACGGTCGGTAAGGCCGGGTAAGTGTGTGATTCGGGTTACGGTGGCTTTTCCTGTCGATTCCGGTGAAGAATCCGGCAAGAACCAGATATCGGGGCTAGGGTGGATTATCTCCTGCTTTTACTGATAATTTTTTTTTTTATTATTATTATTAAATAAAGGCCAATGCTGAATGGACTAATAGTATTATCCCTAAAGGCTACCTTTTTATCAAAGGTTGATTTTGAAGGACGAATTTGACATTTAAAAATCAAGTTGACCTTTTTGGAATCCACTGAAACTATACGGCATAAAAATTTCCTAAATTGTCTTACTAGCTTTAATAAACATAAAATGGAAAAATAATTTAGCAAAAAAAATAATAAACAAAATCGTCTGTCTAGACGTTGATTATTATTATTATAAACAAAAAATTTCATTTTATCTGAGATAAAATGTAAATAAATTTTATTTAATCAATATATAAAACAAACTTTATTTCTTAGTAAATAAATTTTATTTAATCAATATATAAAACAAACTTTATTTCTTATTAGATAGTAAACTATATATTAACTCCTGAGTCAAGCCCACTAGTCTACAACAGTCTATGAATAGAAAACAAAATCTTATCCTATTTCTACTTCTATCAAGATCATGGATCTTATTCATAATGTTAAGTGTGACTTGATAAAGGAAAGTGATCATATCTCCTTCCTAAACTATAACTACTCCTTCTAGTAGGATTTTGAGTCCTACTAGGATTCGTAGCCCTTGGGTTCCCTATATAAATAGGGGCAAAGTATTTAGAAATCACCTATTAGTTCTATCACTCTCACTTTCAAGGTCTCAGAATATTCCGGCGATATCCCGGTGCTACCAAAGTCCCCACAACCACAAAAGTATCCTCTAGACTGTCAATGGCTTGCATTACAAGATTCTATCCTTGTAATTGTAATCGTAGATTTTACAGTCTACACAAAGCAAAAGCATCAGATCGCTATCANGCTGGAATGATTGCTTCTTTGATACTAATGCTGTTTCTTCTCACAGGAGGCTACTATGTCCAGGTACAAGTCTCGAGTTCTTGTAATTAAATAGACGCATTTTAACTAAACGATTCTTGCTTATACGAAACTCAAAAGAATTCCATTGAGGCAAATACGAATTCTTAAGACTAATTCCGGGACCAGTGAGGACATGAAGTATTGCCAATTTGAATGATAAGTCCATTTACAAGACTGAACTTATACATGTTTTGGTTGCAGCACATACCAAAATTTATGCAGTGGTTGAAGTACTCGTCCTTCATGTACTATGGATTTAGACTTCTTCTAAAAGTGCAATATTCCGGAGATCAATTGTACGAATGCGAAAGCAAAGGAGGATGCCGGACTTTGCAGAGCTCGCCTTCATTCAACACGGTGAACCTGAAGGGTGGTTTGCAAGAAGTTTGGGTGTTACTAGCCATGGCCCTGGGATATAGAATTTGCACATACTTCTGCCTTCGCAAGAGGATTAATATATGCCAACTTTAAACGGATGATAACATTGACAAGATAACATCAAAATAATGAAGATAACAGCTTCTTGAACATGCTTTAATGTTGTAGAATTGTACAAAACTTTATAGAAATTCAATCCTACTACTTTTCAAAGAGCTTTCCTTGATTATAGTTTTCAATGATTCCGTTTTATGTGACACTAACATATAAATAATGAGATTATGTGCTGAAAGAACAAGAGATTATACAAAATCAGGGATGTTTATAATGAACCTACAAAATATGACTTCTTTCAAGTCTGATTATAAGTATGGATTACCCAGCATGCCAGCACGCTGATGAAATATCTTCTAATTCTCGATTCTTTCCATTTTTACTGCTATCAACCAGCAAAGTTAGATTCTTTTGCATCAGCTTCAACACATTCAAGGACCCATTATTTCTAGAATGGAAGTAAGCTAGAAAGAAAGCTTAACAATCTCCTCCACAGGCTGATGAAACAAGCCTTGGACGAGCAAAGAAAAGAGGAGAGGGTAAAGAGTGGCAAACGGGTGGGGGAAAGTGATTTGTTTGTAAAAGAAAGAGAGGTTTTTGTCGGGTTTTGGTGTAAGAATTGACTTGGTTTTGAATAAACGAAGAGAAGAAGAGATTGAAGAAGAAGCCATGGCCTCTGCTCTGTTCTGTTTCGAGGAGTCATAGATTTTGAGAAAATTACGAGGAAACTGTTAATGGGCTGTTGTAACCAAATCAATCAAGCAGAAACGACCCAAATCAAACTCTGATTACAAAGTATAGATCACCCTTAACACATTTATTGTTGCTTTATCGCATACTCAAGAGTTTTGCCGGCTGACTTCCTTTTCTTCATTGTCGGGCATTCTTTCACTTGAAGGGTGATTTTGAAGAGGAAAAGGTGCCCGTGATGAGAATACGAGGCGGACATAGCCTCCTCTATGTACTGCTCTAGCTCTGAATATAACTCACATATATTGATATTGATTTGCAAGATATACTCTGGAGCTACACTTTAGTGAAGGATAAAACGAAGGCTGGTGAAAAGATTCTCAATTGGAGTTCATACAATATGACTCCTCGCCATAGAGGTCAACATAATTCGCAGTTCATCAACCTTGTATGAATGGCGATCTAAACCATTAATTTCACCAGTGTTCAAGAGCTTGATCTTTCTCTCACTATTTCACCAGTGTTGCTTGATAACCTTTTTTCTTCCGAATCACTCATCATATTGAAATTGAATTTCAGTTTCAAGGTTCCTACATTCATACAACTCCCAAAACTTAGAACTTTACATTTACGAGTTCTAGGTGATCAATCCGCTCAACTTCTTTAACAACTTTTCTCAGGTTGTCCAGCCCTTCAGGAGTTGGCTTTACATATAGACAATTGGAATAACTGTAAGAAAATCACCATATCTATTCCCACTCTAAGGACATTGATTGTTTGTCGCAAACTTTCCTCTTTAAAGCCATTAGAGGATTATGTTATTAGAAATTTATGCAGAAAATTTGAGCTCTCTCAAATGCATAAATTGTGCAGCAATAAAACTTTTAC